CACTATTTTTGAATATTGAAAAATATAGGATTTAGTTGTATCATTATTTTAAGCAGCCGTTGTTAATATTTTCAATTCTTTTCCTCTCTCATTGCCGATAGGAATTTCTTTTCAACATCTACAGCAATCAATAGCATGCAAAATTCGGATCATCATTATCGAGAACAGAGAAGACCGGAATATTATGATAAATTTCGACTGGATATAGCTTCCTTCGGCCAATGAACGGCTCTTCCATAACATCGTCATTGCTACCTTGAGCTGTTTTGCTGTGCTACAACACAGACACAACCAAAAATAGAAATTGGATCATTATTTTCGTGGAGAGAAAATCCCCATAATATTAAGCGAAAAACTTTAAGTTAAATTGCTTTCTCCATCAAGGTGGAGCTTTTCACTGGCATACATTTCGGTACGATGTGCTGATTTGCTGTGCTACGTGTATACAAACACAAATCATATTATCATAGACATTTTAATAATACTTATTATTATTATTAATTAAATGATATATATAAATATAGTATATTAAAAATTAAAAGTAAAAATATTTCAAATCGTACTTAAATAAAATGTATTCTTACCTAAACAACGCCCCCTCAAAAAAAAATCTTTAAATATACGAAAGAAAAAAAATGCCGTAAAAATTTTAGCCGTTAACAATATAATTTAAAAAAAATCTAGACGACAGGATTTTAACGGAAGTTAAATTTCATTGAAAATTACACCCCTTCCCACGACCCAAACGTAGCAATAACTGATACATTAAATTATAGACATATTGAAAACCCAGCCACCCCTGTCTAGAAAAATAGATTTATCTGTAACCTTGGAAACATGAATTTTGTTTTATCTGTGTATTTAAAACCCAGTAATTTTAAAAAGTTACACCAAAATTCGCTTGAGGATGAAATGGAACTAATGTCTTTAATTTAATCACAAAATTAAATTCAGAGCTTTTAGCTTCTATTTTTGAAACATGGTTAGAACTTTGTAGCGAAAAAAAAACATATTTCAAATCAATTAATTTATAATATTAATGCTCTGTAAATTTACATTGAGCACTATTTTGTAAAAATAAAAATATCTATAAGGACACGGGATTATATATCTTACTGTTCTTTCTTTTTATTTATTTATTTATATATATATATATAAATGGTGGTACTCGCTTGGAAAAACCTTGGCTAGTTCGACTTGCAGTAGAACAAATCGATACCCAAGGAAAAATGAGGAATAAAAAAAGAAAGAACAATGAACATTAAACCAAAGCGAAAATAAATCGTCCAGTGTTCAAGTTCTAAGTCCAAAGAAAAAAAAACCTCCAAAACGAGTAATGCCAACTACGTAAAGTGCTCAATACACGAAGTATAGCAACACTAAATTCTATATAGGATCCACACAGAATAGTTTCAAAAAACGATATTATAACCACCTCAGTAGTTTCAATATATATCATATATCATATATATATATATATCATCACTTGTGGAATGAGCGGGGTATTCGACTGGATAGGAAAATTCGGGTTTACAGAGCTGTCTTTCTAGCCATCATTTTGTACGGCTCAGATTCGTGGACTCCATACAGGTCCCATATACGCCAGCTGGATGTTTTCCATAAAAACTGTTTGCGTGGCATTTGTGGAGTTAACCTTCAAGATAGGACATCTAATGTTTAACAGGTGTAATATTGGTGGAATCGAGACTCAGTTACAATGGACTGGTCATGACTTGAGAATATGTGATGACAGGCTACCCAAGATCCTAATCTAGAGCTAATTAGATCTGGGCACCAGGAATGTAGGATGCCCAAGTCAATACACCTCAAAAAACCATCGACCGTTTAGCCTTGGAGCGGGTAGAATGGAGATCAACGTGTTTTAGTGGACTCAGCAGTTTTCAATCTGCTAGTCTGAATCGTCTTCAAGAAGTGGGAGCAAGATCTAAAAGGTCAGCCTATCTAACAATGATCTCATCCCACAATCCTCACTCTTGCTCCATAGGTGGCCTCCTTTGTAAATGACTAGCGGTTCTTAAGTGCCACTTAAAATTATTGCAGCTCTTTGTCAGAGAGAGAGAAAGAGATAGAGAGAAGGGGGAGAGGGGGAGAGAGATAGGGGAGAGCGGGAGTTAAATTAGAAAAAAGACAGAAAAACTTAAGGGTACATAGATTATATTTTATTTCCCCAGGAAATTTTTCTTGGTTCCTCAGATCACATTTCGAACCATTAAAGAAATATATATATATATATATATATATATATATATATATATATATATATATATATATATATATATATATAATTTATATATATATAAATAATATATATATAAAAATATATATAAATATGATATAATATATATATATATATATATATATATATATATATAAATATAAAGCTTAAAAGATCAGACGTTTGTCTCATAGTTTGTACAATTCCATTCTAATTCGACAAGAGCATAATTCTATACGAAGTACATAGAGAGACGACAACAATATTGCCAACTATAATATTATAATATTTAGTTTGTTTTGGGTCGCATCCAAACCCCTATCATTGTCAAATATTAGATTTTTATCTACGAAATATTTATTATCATTAAAATTTGAATTTTCGGGGTGCGTTTTGTAGGTCCCCCTTGAGAGGATACGGTATTATTGTGTATGAAGGATTGATTGGTGATGGACGAGTTTTTGTGGTGAATGCGCAAATTGTAACGTGTGAATGGGTCGTCTATCGGATTAGCTAGTTATAAGATAGTCAGAGAAGATCAGCCTCATCTCCTTTTCCCCTTTTCGGCCTTGTGCCATAATTGTATAATTGTA